GATAACATTAGTTGATTGTAGAAAATTTTTTGGTAAATTAGCTGTTAGCTGTTTGGTATAATTTTATTTTTTTTTCAAAAAGCTAATTGAAAACTTTGCTTTGAGTAGCTTTTTGAATTTACAAAAAGCTAATTAACCAAATACTTATATTAATTTTTACCAAATTAAAGAACTAATAATTGTCAAAAAAGCCAAAATTGACCTATAAGCTAATTATTGTACCAAACAAGGCCATAACCTTTCGTTATATTTGAGTAATACCACACATTAGTACATGCACCTTTTCTATATACAAATATAACATTTACAATATTAATCATTGGAAAAAAAAAAAAAAAAAAAACCTCCGCTTTTGATTATTTTCATCATTGAGTTTAATTAGCTTAATAATCAAAATGAATTGGTTCATCATGTTAATAAGGATATGAACAAACAGTAGACAATACATATGGCTGAAAAGGTTTCCTAATTGGTCCTGCTGGAAAATGTTTTGAAAGATTCTCAATAAATCAAACTATTCGTTCGATCCTTTTCTAGACAGTATCATTGTTGGGAATATTTGGTCGATCAGATCATCAGATTGCAGTGAATACTATATTACAAATCATATATTGGGCGGCGTACGTATGAACTCTTACTAAATGAACAAAACAAATGATAGCTACATTTTTTTTTTCTAAATATATCTTTAAATATTTTTGTATTTACGTATATGATACCAATTGATTGATTTTTTTATTTGACATATATATATAGGATTTTTTTTTTTATTTGACATATATGTGTGTGTGAATAATTGCACCGTTGTGTTTGGGTTGTGAAAACTCATAGTCCTAACCCTGTGATATAAATCATCAATGTCATATTAGCATGGAGTACTCCTCTTCTTCCAACCGGGGTTTGAAACCAAACTCCTTCACTAGGCGCCCAGGTGTGAAGGTGTGGTGAGATGAGAGTCATTGATCTTGTCTAAATCAACGTCCAGGATTAACAATGATTTAAAAAATGCGGTGGCAATTTAGTCATTTTCCATATGGGTCAAACTTATGGTGTGTAGGCCAAGTTTTGTGTTTAAGGTGCGTATGTTTTGTGCTTAAAGTGTGTCGTCCTCCTTCTTAATGTGTGTTGTTTCTGTGCTTAAGGTGCATCACTTATGCAGTTGAGAACTTAAGGTGCGTAGATTTTGTTCTTAAGGTGCGTCACTTATTAGTTTGAGAACTTAAGGTGTTTTTTTTTGTTAAAACTTAAGGTGCGTTGTTCTAGACCTTTAGGTGTGTATTTTCATAGTTTAAGGTGTGTCCTTTCAACACTTAATGTGCGTCCTTCCAACACTTAATATGCGTCATTTTTATACATAAATTGTGTGTTTGTACTACTTAAAGTGCGTCTTTGTAACACTTAAGGTACACCATTTTGAGCCCTCTCTCCAGATTTTCTAATTAAAAAAAAAAACCTATTATTATTGTTATTGCCTCCCTCGATAATGATGACAGGGTTGATGAGTTGTATTATATATAATCTATTTTAGCTTTAATTTTTATCATAGGTCCTCTTACTGTTCTTGTTACGGACTCACAACTATACTATATATCTAGTTTCTTAGGAGACTAATTTAAGTGATAGCTAAACAAAACTCAATTTCTTACCATTCTTTTAAGGAATGCAACGGAGATTACAACTATGGCTAGAGATGCTCGATCACATGTTTCTGCTATCAATATTAGATTAATATTTTGTGTTTTACGTGTATAATACATGTATTGAATTGTATATTTCTAGCAAAATAATTGTGTAACTCATGAGTGTCTAAAAAGCATTTCATCAAACACATTACTCTTGACATCCTATACTTTCCTTTACCCAAATGTGAAGTATGGTTAATTATCCCCTTGAGTGTAGATTAGGTAATCACTTTCTAATCAGAACTCAATCATGTTAATTAACATCATCAAAGTCAAGTCTCATCTCCCTTAGCTTACCCAACCAATTTAAAGTCACATCCCCATGAACTTAATAATCTACATCCCTATTGATTTTAATTTCCCATGGAAATTTTCCTAACTTAATTAGGTTTTTAGCAAGGTAGCATTGATGATGAAGCACTAAGGATTTGAGCATGCACTCTCTTCCCCCTTCACTATGGTTATTTTCCCATATGGTTTTTCCTACCAAAGTTTTTAACAAGGCTAAGAGTTCATCTATATGGTAATTAGTCCATAAGAAGTGTTATAGAACACAATAACTTAATTGTAGCTCAAGTGGATGGAGATCGGATTCAATTACTTAAGTTATAGAGATCTTATAGGCTCTTTATTTTACGCACTCTATTATATATTTAATATATATATATATATATATATATATATATATATATATATATATATATATATATATATATCAATCACATCACCTAACAAAATGATACAATAATTCATGCCGAAAAATATCTCAATTCACAATAAGAATAAATTTATTTAACAAGCCAAACACCTCGTGCTCAGATGACACATCTATAGCTCACTATTCTTGAGGGAAGGTCACAAGATCGATGACACATCTCTAGCAGAAAGTATAAAACAGATACTATCTTATAATAAAGTCAATAAATTACTATTCTATCCCCGCAATAATATGCGGCTTTAGGAAAAACAATGTATCGTGTTGTGGCATACTGCAGATTCAGTTAATTAATTTAGTTCCATGTATCATGCATGTTCAAATATTATTTTCATTGTAACACACGAGTGTGTATATATATGTATTATTCTTCTGATCTTATCATGTAGAAACAAAATGTGCAGTGGCCTCATGGACCCTGTCTCTCATCATATCCACACTTTACCTACATACGCAAACACCATTATGCATGCATGGGACTAACATTATAATAATAATAATAATATTGGTCTAACATCCCATTATTGTACGTGCTTCATTGAGAAGAATATATGAATCTGGTCCGACATTGCTTTTAAGGCTTCTTTAACAGACAACGGATTATGGCGTCTTAGGATTTCTGCAACGTAACGTCCCAAAGTCAGGATAATTTATTTCGGCAATTATGTATGTCTGCTGAAAGTGAATATAATGCCATGATATATGGTACATGGTGGCGGACATGTGGGGTTACTTAGTTGCTTCTACCAGAAAAAGAACTCTTGGTGGAATCTTCTCCTTGTTTTCTTCTTCTCGTTTGTTGTCTCTTAACAACATAAATTAATCATGAAATGTTAGTTTAGTTAATTGATTCAAATATCAACTTGGTAGTATTTGCCTCTCAAGTTGTTCGTCGCGCACTGCCCAAGCAAAGTTATGGATGATAAGGTTGATCCGTTAATGTGTCCAATATTTAGGCGCGCGCGCGCACACACACACATATATATATATATATATATATAAAATTCAGTGGGGTGTCTTCCGGTTGTGCAATTAAATCTGAGCTGATCTAGCCTAAATCAACATTCAGGATTAACAATGATTAAAAAAAAATGCGGTGACAATTTGATCATTTTGCATCTAGGTCAAATTTAAGGTGCGTGATTTTCCTTCTTAAGGTGCGTGGTTTTTGTACCGTGTGGCTTAAGGTGCGTCAATTGTTGGAAAATTAATTAAGTGCGTCGATCTAAAGCTTTAGGTGCGTGGTTTGTGTGCTTAAGGTGCGTCAATTGTGGAAACTTAAGGTGCGTCGGCTTAAAACTTTAGGTGCGTGATTTGTATGCTTAAGGTGTGCCATTTTAAAACTTTAGGTGCGTGTGCGTGGTTTGTGTACTTAAGGTGCATCATTTTAATAATTAAAGTGTGTCGTTTTGTGTTAACCGCACGAGAAGTTATCTCCGCACCAGAACTCATTCATATATATATAAATATAAATATATATATATATATATATATATATATATATATATATATATATATATATATATATATATATATATATATTGATACTGCTAATTATATGTAAGCAATATAGAATAACACGAGACCAATTAAAGCAAGTAAAATCTTTATTGATCACGGTAAAGGCCCTAAGTACAATCTACTTGGTTGTTCTGAGTACCGACTGAGTGCGGTCGGGATTCTCTAACAACAACCTATCGATCGTCAAAAAGGTCCCTTACACTGTAGCTACTGTGGGTATTTATAGCCGCTATGTCGGGGACAGGATTCCAGCCGTTCGGCATGTCCTCCACGTAGCCACCACGTGTCATCCTCCCGGGTGCCCTGCCTGTCGATGTAAAGAGCCGCCACGTGTCCTTCGTCAGCTCTTTCGCCAAAGGGCTACCGCTCGGTGGTCGACACCGTCGCTCGGGCAACTCCGGTCGGTCTACGACCGGGTTCTTCTCGTGGAGCCCGACCTGTTACCTGCAAAGACAAGGAGAAAGAGACAAAGGCTCCTCGGTCGTGGTGAAGCTATGTCGGTCGGGATATTCCCTACCAAGAGCCCCCCAGCCCGGGCCTTTTTGATCAGTCGGGAAAAAACGGGACGGGATGAAGAAGCCCAACCGTCAGCTACCAAGCCGACCTGCCAGCTGTCATTCCCTCCTACGCCACGTGTCGGCCTCTGCCGGCCTCGGCGATCCCATCCGTCGCCTCGGATTCAGCGCGGGTCGTGTCAGGCAAGTTGGCCCATTTCCCGCCTAAATGCCCTCCTATAAATAGGCCCTTGAGGCCCTCATTTGAACTTTCCTCATTCTTTTGCTTCAGTCGGTATCCTCTAAGAATCCCGAGCAGAGCATCTCAGCAAGGCGATCAAGCAAAGCAAAACTTCAGATCCTCTTCCAAGTTTCTTCACTCGGTAAGCTCCTAGTTCCTTACTCTTTCTTTATTCTTCACTTAGCGTAGAAGTAGGATAGCACTAACTTCGAGCTAACTCCCCGAACCCTATACTAACTCCCGACCGACCTTTAGGTAGAACTATGTCGGACTCGGATAGCCAAAACGCATCGATCGCGGATTACGACGAGGAGGTCGAGCACCTCAGCGACGAGGAGGTGGACATCATGTCCTACTCCCCCGAAGCTACCAGCCGACCGGGTCCTTCTCCCGAGCGGGCCGCCGCACAAGACACGTCGTCCAGCTCATCCGGGTCGTCGAGCTCCGGCTCAAGCGGATCGGGGAGCTTCGACGAGGAAGAAGAAGAAGGAACCACGTCGGGGAGACAAGGATCCCCGACCGAAGGCGTTAGGGAAACGCCCACTCGGGTGGTTGGGGACCACCCCAGTCCGGCTCCCGAGCCGACCGAAGAGGACACGGCCGGGCCAGCCGCCCCAGCTGTCGCGGAGTTCGAGTTCTTGAACAGCGAGAACGTCGAACAGCAAATGAGCCAGCTCACCAAGGGCGAGGCGGCTAGGATTGCCGAAAGGCTCATGGGTCGGGTAGAATTTGACACGAGCCGGCAGCTGGGGAACGTCATCGATCGGCATCGGGGCAAATGGATCGGGATGCACTACGACTCCCTGATGGCCCCGATCGCCATTCCCTTCACCCCCCTCCTGAATGCCTTCTTGGCCTACTACCGGGTCGTCCCGGCCCAGATCTGCCCTAATGCGCACCGGATCATCGCCTGCTTCCCGCAGATATGCGCTCGGCACGAAGCCGCCTGCACGATGGAGCTGTTCAACTTCATCTACCAGGTCAAAGTCCTCCCGGGCAACTATGGAGGCGGGTTCCTGATGTTGCAGTCCCGGGCCGATATGTGCGCGATCAAAGGACTGCCCGGGAACAATAGGGGGTGGAAGAATAGGATCTTCTCCCTCAAATACGACCCTTGGATCCTCCCGGTTGATCGCGCTTGGAGCACCCACTTTCGGAAACAAGTGGTGCCGGTCGAGACGCAAGCGCTGAGGGACACGGTCAGCCGGATTTCGAGCGAGGTGCACGAATACACAATCTTCCGGACGGCTGAAAGCCTCGAGGCGGCTCAACTCCCGCCCCCCACCTACGAGCTGCCGGAGAAGTATCTGCCCGTGCCGATGGGCGTGACGGTCGCCAAACCTGCGAGGCGAACGAAGAAAGGTTTAACTCGAGCTAAACCCCCCGCCCCCCCCCGACTCATTTTTATGCCTCGACCACACTAACGATCTTCTTTGTTTTGCAGCTATGGCGGACTTTGGTGATGAAGAGGCCCCCCTTTCCCCGCCCGCCAAGATCTCCCTTGGCGGCAAGAAGAAGGCCAAGGCGAAGCCGGCCGGGGAGAAGGAGATCCCCTTGGCCCGACCACTGAGCGCCTCGACGGTGACGACGGGCGAGGGCTTCGTCGTCGAGCAGCCTGACGTCCTGGTCACCCGGGTAGAGGTCGCCCGGGGAAAGGAGAAGGTCGCCGACCAGGGCGCGACCGAGGTGGGCAGCCTGAAGCGCCGCCGTGAGCAGCGCAGCCCGAGCCCTTCGGTCGGGCGAGAAAGGGACTCGGCGTCCATGCTGGCCCGGATCGGCAACGCCGCGCCGGCCAAGGAGGATTTGGGGAAGATGACCCCGACCCAAGTGGCCGAGCGGATCGGCCACGACCTGGCCGAGGTAAACTTTTCTCAATTAACAGCTTTTTTGCTCAAGTGCTTTCGTTCGGGCTGATCCCGAACGTCTTTTGTTTTGCAGATATCCCGGGCCGCCCAGCTCTTACAAGGTCGAGCCATGCTGGCCGAGGAAGCTGATCACCACAAGAAGACGGCCGCCCATCGCTTGAAGGAGATCAAGGACCTCCAAGCCGAGTTGGAGAAGACCCAAAAGGCCCTGAAGAAGGGCGACGAGGAGCGGGTTCTTGCCGAGAAGGTCGCCAGCCGGGCGATCGGAGAAGCCAAGGAGCTGAAGGCTCAGCTCGAGAATCCGAGCGAGCTGGCGCGGGCAGCCTTCAAAGACAGGGAGTTGGGCTCGGCCTTCCTCACCGCAGCCCGGGGAACAGAGATCGGGGAAGAGCTGATCGTCTCTTTCGGTCGCTGGGGCTTTACGGCCGGGAAGCGGAAGATGCTTGAACGAGTCCGTTCCCGGTTGGAGCAGGCTCTAGACGGGGAAGACCTTCAGCTGGTCCTCTCGGCATTGCCCCCGGACCTAGCCGATCCCGGTCCCTCTCCCTTCGCCCCAAAAGCCAAGGCGTCTGAAGCCGGGGCATCAACGGCGGCCACCCCGAGCGGAAAGGAACCGGCTGCCGGAGCTCGGGAGATGAAGAAGTAAAATAGGCTCCTTTCTTCTTCTTCTTTTTGTAAAGGACCCTTGATCGGGAGCCCGGTCCCGAATTGTACCGGGCAACTTTTTGTTTGTTAATAAAATTTGTTTTTGCTCTAACTCGCGTTATTCGTTCTTTCTTTTCGCACTTTTATCTTTAATCGCGTAAATGCTGATCCTTAATGCTCGACCTCGCGGCCTTGTGGCCCGATCTTGCACTGCTTCGACCCACTCGACGCCCGACCTTACGACCTTATGGCCTGGTCATGCGTTTGATATTTCGACGTCGAATCTGGCCAACCGATCGGGTGTACCCGATCCCCGGGCCTTTGTCGAAAAAATTTTGAAAGCAAGCCTCTACGGTCGGGATGTAACCGAGCGACGGGCCTGCGAATACTTCCTTTTGAAAGCAAGCCTCTACGGTCGGGATGTAACCGAGCGACGGGCCTGCGAATACTTCCTTATCCCAGCCCCCACACTATTGTGCGCTCGAGGCACGAGTGGGTGCAATAGTGGACAGAAGTTGGACGGATCGGGGGATAATGCTGACAGCTCCTGGCTTCCCCGATCAATGGCGGGACTCGAATGTCCGCCGATGTGGAGCGCATCTGACCGGTCAATAGATTCGCCCGGTCGGTGTAGCTTGAAGATAAATTAATCATCGATCGTATATACATTAAACTTTCCCGCTCGCAGGCGGTTGAATTAATTTTACAACCATAAATTTACATAGAAATGACGACCGGGGCTAACTCGCAGGTCAAGCCCCCACTTCGTCTAGGAAGTACAAAAAATAGGCTAATGCCTAAAAAGAATGAGGTGCTCGGAATTCCAAGTCCCCTCGAGTAGCCGACCAGTCGTTGTCTCTAGTCGGTATGTACCCGGCCGTATGACAGCGTTGATGATGTACGGCCCTTCCCAGTTCTGAGCTAACTTTCCGCCCTCTAGAGGTTGACTGGCCTCCCTTCGTCGTAGAACGTAGTCTCCGACCTGAAAGTAACGAGGGTTGACCCGAACATCTTTAGAACTCTTGACGCGCTTGTGATATTCGGCCATGCGTCGAGCAGCTAGCTCTCTTTTTTCTTCGACCCCATCGAGATCCACTGCCATGGCATGTTCATTTTCCTCGGCGTTGTAGGTTCTTTCTCGATCGGTTGGGATCCAAGCCTCGATCGGGAGTCGGGCTTCCGCTCCATAAACCAAGGCGAAAGGGGTCTCCAAAGTAGCTTCCCTCGGGGTCGTCCGATAAGTCCATAAGACATATGGCAACTCATCGGCCCAACTACGACCGGCCGAGTGTAACTTCTTTTTCAGACCTTCCAATATCGTCCGGTTAGCATTCTCCACTTGTCCATTTCCCTGTGGGTAAGCGACCGACGACCGGACGTGAGTCGTCCCGATCGTGGCCAAGAAATTCTGGAAGTATTGGCTTACGAATTGGCGGCCGTTGTCGCTAATGAGATGCACGGGTACGCCAAAACGGGAAATGACATTGCGCCAAAGGAAGCGAGCACACTGCTGAGATGTGATCGTGGCTAAGGGCTCGGCTTCTATCCACTAGGAGAAGTAATCTATGGCGACGATCACGAACTTTCTCCGACCGGAGAGCTGAGGGAAGGGGCCCAAGATGTCTACCCCCCACCTAGCGAAAGGGATTGCGGTCGTGACTGGCTGGTAGAACGTTGCCGGTCGTCCAGGCATCCGGGCGTACAGTTGGCACGTCTCACATTCCCGAGCCAACTTTTCACAGTCTAGCTGGAGGGACGGCCAATAGTACCCGATCAACATGATACAACGGGCCAGGGATCGACCTCCTTGATGTGAAGAGCAAATTCCCGAGTGTAGCTCCTTCATGACCAACTCAGCCTCAAATGCGGTCAAGCAACGCATGAGGGGGCCTCCATACGATCGCCTATACAGGCGACCGTCCAAGACTTGGAACCTTGGGGCTCTTAGCTTGGCCTTCCGAGCACGCTGCGGGTCGTCGGGGAGGCGATCGTGCTCGAGATACTCCTTCAGATCGGTGATCCAACTGTCATCTACCGGTTGGATGGGATTGACCGGCAGACGGTGAATACTGTGTCTTGGGATCACCAAGATCCGAGCTATCCTCGACATGTGTTCCGGGGCGTCTTGGGCCAGTTTGGATAAGATATCCGCATCGGCGTTATCCAACCGGGGTATGTGTCGGACGGTATACCCCCGGAACTGAGCGAGCTTTTCCATGGCAAGGTCTCGGTACAATTGCAAACGCTCACCATTGACTTCATAGTCCCCGAGGACTTGCCCGACCACGAGCGCAGACTCTGTTTGGGCTCGGATGTATTCAGCCCCCAAGTCCCGAGCGCATTGCAAGCCATTAACGAATGCTTCGTACTCGGCTTCGTTGTTGGTCGGGTGGAACTGGTACATAAGAGCAAAATAGATCTTGAATCCTTCCGGGCTCGTGACCACCACTCCTCCTCCGGCCCCTTTTTTGCTACTCGACCCATCTGTAGCCAGCGACCACCACTCCGCCTCGGGATCCGCAACCTCAGGAGGCCGGGTATCCCGGGCGGTGCACTCAACCAAGAAATCCGCAAGAGCTTGACCTTTAATAGCGGGTCTTGGTCGGTATTCGATCGCGTACTGGATCAACATTAACGCCCATTTGACTAGGCGACCTGATGATGAAGCAGTTCGGAGGACTGGCCCGATCGGCTGATCGGTCAACACGCGAATTGCTCGACCTTGGAAGTAGGGGGCCAACTTCTTTGCAGCAATGTATAAGGCATAGACGACCTTCTCTAGCCGGGAGTACCGGAGCTCGGGACCATGTAGCGCGTGGCTTACATAGTACACCGGTCGCTGGACCCCTTCCGGATCGGTTCGGCACAACACTGCGCTTACTGCGCGATCGGACACGGCGAGGTACACGTCTAGCTCTTCCCCGAGCTCAGGCTTTGAGAGCACGATCGGTGACATGAGGTATTCCTTCAGCTCATCAAAAGCCGCTCGACATTCTTCGTCCCAGACGAATCCATTAACTTTTCGCAATACCTTGAAGAAAGGTAAAGCGCGCTCGGCTAGCTTGGAGAGGAACCGGCTGAGGGCTGCCAGCCGACCGGTCAATTGCTGGACTTCCCGAACGGTGGAAGGTGGCTACATGTCCAGAATCGCTTTTACTTTGGCCGGGTTGGGCTCGATTCCTCTCTTGGTCATCATATAGCCGAGGAACTTGCCGGTCTGAACCGCGAATGTGCACTTGGTCGGGTTCAGCCGCAACTGGTACTTCCTCATGATCTGGAAGCACTCCCGGAGGTCCCGAGTGTGGTCGGACCGGTCCCGACTCTTGACCAGCATATCATCGATGTAAGCCTCCATCGTTCGGCCCAGTAGATCAGCAAAGAGCATGTTGACCATCCTTTGGTAGGTCGCTCCTGCGTTTCGGAGGCCGAACGGCATCACTCGGTAACAATACAGCCCATCCGGGGTCACGAAGGCTGTCTTGCTCTCGTCTTCATGGTGCATCATGATCTGATGGTATCCCTTAAAGGCATCCATGAAGCTCATTAACTCGGCCCCAGCCGTCTCGTCGACCATCTGATGAATGCTCGGTAGAGGATACGGGTCGAGCGGACAGGCATTGTTGAGGTCCGTAAAGTCGATGCACATCCTCCATGCTGGGGGCTTAGGAACAAGAACAATATTTGTCACCCACTCAGGATAGACCACCGGACGGATATGGTCGATCGCCGCCATCTTTTTGACTTCCTCTCTTACAAACTCGCGGCGATCGGAGGAAAGGTGTCGTGTCTTTTGCACGACCGGCTTAGCTGCGGGATCGACGGCCAATTTGTGACAAATGACCGACCGATCGATCCCGGGCATGTCTTCAGGCCCCCATGCAAAGATATCTGCATACTCCCGGAGCACGGCCAGAACTTCCGCTCGGATCTCGGGGGTGAGGGCTCGTCCAATCTTTATCTTTCTGTCCGGGCGGTCCTCGGACAGGGGAACTTCTTCAATTTCTTCGGAAGGCTCAGGCTGCTCCTTCCGTTCGTTAGCCTCCTCTTTGGCTATGGTGTTCACCCGGGAAGACGGACCGGAGTCACGTCTATTGACCGCTCGGGTGTAACACTTCCGGGCGGATTGGACATCGCCACGGACCACGCCGACCCCGCTAGGGGTGGGGAATTTCATGCACAGGTGGGGCATAGAAATTATCCCACCGATCTTCATAATGGCGGGTCGGCCCAAGATAATGTTGTGGACGCAATGGAGGTTGACCACAACAAATTCCAGCTCCGTTTGGATCGACTTTGGAGGCGTGCCGATCTCGACCGGGAGCGTTATTTTTCGCTCGGGGTAGATAAGAACCCCGGTAAATCCCGACAGTGGTACACCGACCGGAGTCAGCTCCTTCCTGTCAAGGCCAAGCTTCTCAAACACGTCCCAGTATAGGACGTTCACACTACTGCCCGTGTCAACCATAACCCTCTGGACATCCGTCCCCTTAACGTCAATCGTGACCACGAGCGCCTCCATGCCGTGATCACTGCTGGTAGGTTGGTCCTCGAGGGTGAAGGTTATGGGCTCCATCTTCTGCCTCTTCCCGGTCTCCCGGGAATCCACTACTGCGACCGAGCAATTAGTCCGCAGTCGGGAAGCATCTTCCAGCCCACCAAAAATGACGTGGATGGTAGGCTTTCCGGACGGGCGGCTACCGGATGGAGGGTCAGGGTCCCGTCGGTCATCACGACGATCGTCCCTTCGATCGTCTCTTCGGTCCTGACCCGACCGATCGGAGCGATGATGAGAACGCCTATGGTCTCTCCGATCGGTGTTCCTCTTGTTTTCCTCTCTCTTCCCCACACACTTGTCCAATTTTCCCAAATTGAGCAAATCTTCCAATAATTGGCGCAAGTGGGTACACTCCTCGGTGTCATGCCCGGCGCATCGATGGTAAGCACAATGCTTACTCTTGTCAGGGCCGTCTCGATCGGGATGGGGAAGTTTGATGAGATTGCAGGACTGGGCATATTGCATGGCCTCCGCTGCGGATCGGTTCAAGGCCGTAAACTCGCCATGCCTGGTGCGGGGTCGGGGGTTGTCATCTCCCGATCGATGTTCCGCCCGGCCGGCCGGTTTACGGGACGACGACCCGACCTCCTGCGAGCGCTTGACGGCATTCGCCTCACCTGCGTTGGCATAATCAGCGACCCTTCGTAGGGCCTCCTCATAGGTGGTCGGGGGGTGGAGGATAAAATCCTGGTATAGATACCCCGCCCGGAGGGAGATGTGAAGCATGTGAGTAGCGGTCGCATCGTCCATAGGCTCGACCTCCCCGACCGCCGCTTTCCACTTGATGAGGAAATCGGTCAAGCTTTCCCCTTCTAATTGCTTGGCCTTCTCGAGATACATGTAGGACTTCCTCACCACTTTGGAAGTGATGAACTTCCTCACGAATTTGATCGCCAGGGTCTCAAATTTATCGATCGACCCCGGGGGCAGGGTACGGAACCACTCTGCTGCCCGACCGGTGAGGGTCGAGTAAAAGGCTCTGCACATCACGGCGTCCGAAACGCCCTTCAGCATCATGTTGCTGAAAAAATCATTCACGTGGGCCTCAGGATCTGTCCGACCGTCGTAACTCTTCTCTCCCGAGACCTTTAAGTCGAGCGGGTAAGGCTGAGCCATTACCGCTGCTGTGAAAGGCGTCTGGTGCAGGGTCGATCGGTCGGCCGGGGGTGCTGTGGGATACGCACTCCTGAGCTGCGCAACTTCAGCCTGGAGGTTGTAGAGCAATCCTCGGGTTTCGTTGAGCTCGGCGGCTTGGGCTGTATCCCGAGCGCGTCGTCGTCGGTGAGATCTCGACCCGCTATACCCGGATGAAGCCTCGTGGCTAGCTTCCTGCATTTGTACGTCCTCTTGCCCGCGATTCGGGTCCTGGGGTCCCAAACGCTGGCGCATCTCTGGTCGGAGACGATCGAAAGCTACCGCTCGGGCAACCTCTTCAGGGTCCTCCGCTTGAACGGCCTGAGCTGGTGCCTCCATCGCATCAGCACCCCCCGACCCCAACCGCGAATGAGCCGAGCGTCGAGCCTGGGAAGTGGACTGACGCTGCGGCTCTACTTGTGCGGTCGGTGGTACTGGAGGGGCGGCGGCTGGAGCTGTATAAGCTGGCGTATATGGTGGATAACCAACCGGGGGAGCGTAGCACATTGGTTGGCCTGGCCAGTACCCATACGGTGGAGGTGGGACCGGGTACGGATACTGGGCGGGATACATCATCGGCGGCTGCTGGTACGGCAGACCGGGTGTCGGGTATCCCGGCTGTATGTAATTCACCGGTTGCTGGGCGGCCGGGTATGTATTTGACGGATGCGGTGGTGAGAGGTTGAGGTTGAGGTCCATCGTCTGACCCTGCTGTTGGGTAGCATAGTGGTCAGAGGAGCTCGCCGCATCCGCCTGGTCGTCGGCGAAGTTGTTGTGTGCCCACGGATACATGTTTGTATGGTGATCGGGTGCTCGTCAAGACGTTGGTTTCTTGCACGGGTCCCCACAGACGGCGCCAAAATGATACTGCTAATTATATGTAAGCAATATAGAATAACACGAGACCAATTAAAGCAAGTAAAATCTTTATTGATCACGGTAAAGGCCCTAAGTACAATCTACTTGGTTGTTCTGAGTACCGACTGAGTGCGGTCGGGATTCTCTAACAACAACCTATCGATCGTCAAAAAGGTCCCTTACACTGTAGCTACTGTGGGTATTTATAGCCGCTATGCCGGGGACAGGATTCCAGCCGTTCGGCATGTCCTCCACGTAGCCACCACGTGTCATCCTCCCGGGTGCCCTGCCTGTCGATGTAAAGAGCCGCCACGTGTCCTTCGTCAGCTCTTTCGCCAAAGGGCTACCGCTCGGTGGTCGACACCGTCGCTCGGGCAACTCCGGTCGGTCTACGACCGGGTTCTTCTCGTGGAGCCCGACCTGTTACCTGCAAAGACAAGGAGAAAGAGACAAAGGCTCCTCGGTCGTGGTGAAGCTATGTCGGTCGGGATATTCCCTACCATATATATAGTGAAAGGTTCCCGTGCGGTTGATTAATGTGCGTGAGATTTGTACTCAATGTGCGTGAGTGTTGTGCTTAATGTGCCTGAGATTTGTACTTAATGTGCGTGAATGTGTAAAATGCAGCAGAAAATATGGATGTCAGCTTTTCCCCCATCCCCAGTAGCCATTGCCCCCTCCCTGATGATGATGATGCGGAGGCGGGCTATGGTGGTTAAGAATTATGGGAATAATACAACAGAAATCCACACTTAGCTAGTGTGCAAATTTTGCTGTGCGTGCGTCATCTATATAAACATTCAACTGCACCGAAGGTAGCTGATAATCCAGAATCCATGACCAAATTGAAGGAAGAAGTAACAAGAAGCTTGGGCGTTAATGTGCGTGAATTTTCTGTTCTGCTTCCTTCTGAGCTCTTAATTCTGAACTACTCACGCACATTAAGCACAAATCTCACGCATATTAAGCACAATACTCAGGCACATTAAGTACAAAACTCACGCATATTAACATTACGCACATTAGGTACAAATCTCAGGCACATTAAGCACAACACTCACACACATTAAGTATAAACCTCACACACATTAATCCACCGCACAACTGCACGGGAAGCAACAAATGCACCTGATCCCTTCCCTATATATATATATATATATATATATATATATATATATATATATATATATATATATATATATATATATTGACTGGTATTGTCATCAGTTGTGTATTTATTTACGGTATTACCATCCTTTGTTTTTTCTTTCCACTACACCTTTATTAAAGAGGTGTAGTGAAAAGTAATATTTATATGCTCAATTTTGTAGTAGTGGTTGAATTAAAAGCCTACAGGACCTCGCTTCTAGAATCACAGCAAAGGTAAATCATGCACACACCAATGTTTCGATCCTGCAAATGACACCAATATTTGTTTTACAACCTTTGGACGGTCAATGATTGGCTGACACAACCTGTTAGACATTCAATAATGCAAAGGAAAAGTCCGCATGAACAGCTCAACTGATCATAGAGGTGAAAGTCAGAAAGAATGACCAGATCAAGTCTCACCAGCGGCAATGGGGGGCTCCTTAGGCGCAGTGAGCAAAGATCTAACATTTATGATTCATGTTGAGTTACCATAATTGACCTCCTTCTAGATACTCGGTCCGCCCGAGGTCACTGGTTATTAATTACTTTTAGAATTCAAAGGATGCGAACTCGTAAGTCGTAACACGCCCTTATTTATAGTATTTATACAATTATACATACAACACCCAGCCAAATAAGGAAACGAAATCCCTACAATCATGGCTACAAATCATATCGGTTAATCACCCCTTAATTAGGGATTTATTGCTTACCAAAATTAATATGATTGTCTAGCTAATCTTAAAAAGCAAAGGAATTAAACCAAGAAAGTCATCATCTCCCTAGTATCTTGCCCACAAATGCAGACTTAACGAGTAACTGCCCTCTTGATTGCCTACAATCCCCTACATATATAAATGCTTCCCGTCATCCCCTCATCATTTCCACCCAGCCAGAAATCACAATCCAGTCTGCTGGTTTGAATTTTCTTACCATTCCTCAAGCTTGCCCGGAAATACCAACCAACCTTTGATGTACCAATCAACTTTTTAAGTTCCAACCACCAAGCCCGCACGAGTTTAACTCAATGATTCAGTAAGCAGACAATATTTGGTAGAAGACACCAAGATTCAAACCTCAGCAACGACAGTGTGGAGATTTTGTTCAAAGTAAACAAATTTCTTGTGTGCACGAACACCAAAAATAGTGATCAAAATGATAGACAAATAACAACAACAATATATAACAATTATCCATTGATCATTAATTAATAAAATAAAAGTAAAACAAATAATTCTTTTATGTATAAACTTTGTATTAAAACTAATACAAATGACGTGGAAACGCATCACGTTACACGATTTAGTAATCCTACGTACAGCTGGCACTGCACCCCCAACCAACAGGGTATGTAGGTGACAAATTAATTAAAAACTCCCATGTTCCTACACTAATTTATGTAACCCAAAGTTGGTGATCATCATATATAATGAATCAAGTGTTAGTTGGGTGGAGATCGAAAAAAACAAATTATATGATATTAAGGCGCATTAACATATATATATATATATTTAAATTTTATACAGTAATGGTGCGGAAAGGAGATCCGACCACCGGAGCTGGTCGCCGGCCGCCGGCGGCTAAGCCACGAAGTTTCTGCTCTTTGATGGCCGGATCTTCTAGTAGTAGAACCTTGTCCTTATTGCTCAAACCCACCATGTGCAAGTGTTCATAATCTTCCCTTTCTTTCCCTTTGTACAGAACTCTTTGTTCCTTTGGTTCTAAACCGGTCACCAACGACAACATCATCTTCAGCTCTCCTGAAATATTACAAAAGTCACAACTTCAATTCATTAGACTACCAAACAAATTACTAAAACCCTTTTTTCAAAGGAGTATAAACTTAACTCATTGGTTTAGTAAAGAGTATTTAGAAGAAAGATCAAGATTTGAAACTCCGACAAAAGCAATGTGGGAATTATGCTTAAAGTGAACAGATTTTTTGTACACTGTCATTGTGAGAATTAAATGTTTAAAGTGGACGGAATATTCCTGGTACACACCTACACTAGTGTGGAATTATATGCTTATGACAATGTTTAAAGTGGACGGAATATTCCTGAATTATATGCTTATGACAGATTCGATTCCTTATACACACTGATAGCGAAAGTAGTGTAAAAACAAGGAACCCTGTGGAATTATATGCTTATGACAGATTCGATTCCTTATACACACTGATAGCGAAAGTAGTGTAAAAACAAGGAACCCCCTCACTTTGAGAGGTTGCTCCCACACAATCGCTGATGAGACTCGATCCCTGGTCATTCTTCCAAACTTTCACCTCTATGACCAGTTGAGCTACCCATGCGGGCTTGAGGAGGAATAATTGAAAATATGGATGGAGGCTTACCAAAAGTTGAGGTGGATTGGATGGAGATATTATGGCATTGCGAGACGGTTGAGACTCTGAGCGTGATAATCTCTTCAGCTTTATCTACACATTCTCTCTTTTGGACAAGCATGCCGCCGGGGCGAAGTTCCCATTTGATTTCACCGCCGCTCACGGTGGCGTTGGCTGCGGCGGCGCTGCCACTTGCTGCTGACTTTGATGAGTTGGTTCTGGAGAACTTCTTTGACCTTAGTTTCATCATCTTCAATACAATTGAATTGATAGCTATTCGATATCTTTCCTTCAAATTCCAATTTTTCTTTCTGATCTCTTCCTGAAAACTACTTTTGGTGGAAGGTGGTGCACTTATTA